GAAGAGGGAGCAGAAATAGAGGCAAAGCTGGGTTCAGTGACTTGTCCAAGGTCACACAGCCAGATAGGGACAGAGCCCAGGTGAGGACCCACTGCCCTGAGAAGTTGCCAGGTGGGGCTCTGACCCAGAATAGTGATAAATGGCAAATACGTACACTGTCTTAACACAGTCATCTAGCCCTCAGGACTGCTCGAAGATACATAGGGCTATGATTCCCAAGCAGAGGTATGAAGCCCCTTGCCCAAGATCACACAGCTAATAGATGGCAGAGCAGGGCGTGGCCTAGCTGCCAGTGGAGGTCAGGCACCCAGCCCATCCATTTCTCCAACATCCCCTGGGAATATATCCGGTTGTCATTTCCCAGGTCGAGTCCTCCAGGAGATAGACTAGTAGCTTTGGAGTGAACTCCTCCTGCCCCTGGTGACTTATTTCCATTTGGTTTGGAACAGCACAGAGGAAGATTCATCTCGTCACCAGGTTTTTATTGTCCTTTTACAGTTTGAACCGCCCTGGCAGCCGCATCCGCACGCCTGGTGCGCAGGTCTTGGCTGTCCCGGTAGTTCTTGTCCATCATGCTCCAGCTCATCAGGGTTCGTCCTGTAAGGTGTCCCGGGCAGAGGACTGGACAGATGTGGACTGACCAGCTGGCCTCACGTTCAGTGCTATTGCTCCATGACTGTGGCCAAAATGGTGCTTGGGGCAGCCACGGGAGACCACCGGCCCACACGCTTCCCTTTCGCCTCTCCCAGAATGAATCCCTCCACTGAAAGGTGGGAATGACAAGTTCTGGGCCACTGGGATGGTGAGTGTGTGCTGAGTAACTGTTTGCAAAGCTGTGAGTTTCTTGGGAGAAAATAGCTAGCCAGAGTTCAACCCATGATGAGCTGGTTGAGAAAAGCAGGGCCTTGGGAAAGAGCTGGGAGCACTCGGCATCTTGTCCAGGTGCTTATCTAGTGACTTATTTCTCCTGTATTGGAGTCAAACCTGAACTTAGGAGTAGGAGGCCCTGTGGGGGTGGGGAGCCACTCTGCTGTCTGTCTCTCATTGGCGGCAAGAAGCCTGCCCTGGAGGCAGCCCTCCTCTTCCCTCTCCTCCCCGGGATGAGTCAGCTGGTGGGAACCACTGGTGCCCTGGGAAAGAGGAAAATACAGCTGACCAGGGAGGCTGACGTCTCCGTTCAGCCACAGCTGAATGGAGACACTGTTCTTTCTGCCGGGGCAACTTCCAGAGCTGAGCCATTGTGTGAATCCAAATACGGCTCAAACCCCTCTATGGCGCCTGCCCAAACCGGCAAGATGGCTGTCCCTACAAGTGGTAAGACTGGTCCAGACTCTCTCAGCAACTTTCTCTGTCTCATGCAGAGCAGTTTGCGGCCCGAAGTGCTGAGAGGTAGATTAATCCGTGCTGACAGCTTTGGAGAGCACCAGGGCCCAGTCCTCCTTCCTGGGAACACTTCCACACTCTCAGTGAGGGTGGGGGTAGGAGGGTCCTGCCAGCGTCCCTTCTCCTGCCCGTATTTTTTGAATGCAGCACGTGAGCCGGCACACTGCTCCCAGCCCGCACTGAGTCAGCACCCTGGAGAGCTGCGCCCCACCCCCTTCCTAACCGGTGAGGTCAGCACAGATGCTGGCCTGCCTGGCCCCAGGACACACAGGGAGCAGGAACCGCAGCCTCGAGGCAACGCTCCTGAGGACCGAGCTGAAGTCATGCTGGTGGAGACTGTGGAAACCCAGGGAACAGGGCTCCTAAGAGCAGCTCTGCTGACAAAATCTCACCGTGGACACTCAGATGGGTGTGACACTGTGCAGCACTTATTAGCAGATTGCTTCATAGATACTGAGCTGCAATCTCCCGAAAGGGCAGCCATGGCAAGTCTCATGAAGTGTCCCTTCCTATGTCCCGCTGGTGCCATTGTTCTTAAGCTCGGATGCTACGTCGCCCAGAACTGCAGGCTCGGGGGAGTGGCCAAGCGTATAAACTGGGGGCACACCTGTTTTAAGATGCAAGTTAGACCACCTGCTCAGGTTCCAAGGAGGCAGCTCTCCCCCTGACCCGGCGCTGAGGTCAGAGCCAGTCTCTGCCTAGCTTGTCCAGGAGACACTGTGTGGCCTGACAGGCTCGGAGAGGGGCTCGGGCCTGAGGACAGCTCATAGCCCCACAGCAGAACCCCAGCCTCTGGCCTTGCTCCAGCCCACTGGTTCTCAACAGCAGGGTGAAAAAGGAACCACTGGGGAGTTACCTACAATGCAAATTTGGGGGCCCTACCAGATTCTGACTTGGTTTAGGTCTGGGATGGGGCTGGGAATCACCCACCTGAAATGTGGGCAATTCTGTTACACACTGGAGTACATCCCCCTGTGGGAAAGTGGGGGCTCTTAGATGCTCCCATGCTGTCAGAAGTCAGGGGCACCTCGGAGAGCTCCCCACGGGCAGCGAATGTCCAGCTCCCACTGAAGTGGTCTACTGACCCAGCTCCCAGCTGTCCTTCCCCCTGATGATCTGGAGGCTAAGGGAGTGTGGTTAGTCCCGCCTCCCTCCTGGACAGTTGAAAGCAGAGGGTGTACGCCTTTCTGCTGGGCCGGTGGGTGTGCTCTCTGTGAGGAAGCACAGGAGGCAGGTAGTCTCTGGTAGAAACATGGCCTGCATTCACTGGAGGTGGCCTAGGAGATGGGAGCCCCTGTGTCTGACCTCCGGAGTGGAGAGGACTTTTCTTATCAAGCAGTGGACAGTGGACATCCTGGTGCTCAGGCTGCAGTGCTGTAGCCTCTACCTGATGTCCTGAAGGAGGGGAGGAATGTTCCCGGCACCTTGGTGTTTTCCTTAGGGACTCGGCTACAAGTGAGGTTCTCTTCCATAGAAACGTCGGTGCCACAGTCCACCACAGGCGGACAAGAGGCTGTTGTGGAAACCTACCTGTAATGCATGACATCGTTGCTCTGGGAAAGTGACTCTGAACTCATATCTGATTGCAAGCAAACTTGGGGAACATCATCTGCCTGTGAGTTAGGGAGTGCTTGGGTGACTCAGCCCTTGAATATCTCTGAGGAGTTTGGGGCAAAGCCCAGGCCCACATTCCAAAGGCTGGGCATGAATGCACCCATAGGGACCTCAAGCAGCATCCTCATTAAGAGGCTCAGCCATCTTTGTACCATAGCCCAACGGGCAGGTTGTGCCAGGCTCTTGGTGGGTTCTGAGTCAAGGGCCCATGAATGAGTAGATTGTGAGGGCTGCTTGGCATCTTGATCGCTCTTGCAGTGGGGTCCAATTTTCCTTCCTACCAACCAGGAAGCCAAATGCCTTATTGCAGAGCTCTGGCCTGGAAGACAGAAAAGCCATTATCTTCAATGGCAGGAATGTTGCTTTTATCTTCACGGAGTGAGCCCAGAGGACATTTTACTGGAAGATGTTTGCAGGTGAAAAATGCCCTAGGGAGAGGTTGTGCTGGGTTGTTTTCAACCCTGTCACAGAGTCAGTCCCAGCTCAGCCCATCGATGCTGAGTAGCATGGCTTGCAGACCCACGGTCTCCCATTCTGCTTGTGCTCAGGGCACAAATAACTGTTTAAAAGCACTTATGAACCAAATGCAATGTCCCTTACTCAAATTGGACGTTTATGTGTGTTTGGAGACACATATCAACAACAAAAAATCTCTCTCCCTTTTTTTTTTTTTTTACAAGACTGGAGCACGAGGCAAGAGTATCATAAAGAATTAAGAATAAAGTTTAAGCTTCAATAGAAAATTCTGTGAAATTGCAAAATGTCACCATTGCCAGATGGGAGGAGATGGGGGGACTCCGAACCCTTAGAGGTAAAAGTTGGTCATTTGCACACCTCAGAAGGTTGACTTAAGAGTCCTCCCAAACTGCCCGGCTGGTGTAACTAAGTGGTTGAGCATTGACCTATGACCCAGGAGGTCACGGTTCAATTCCTGGTCGGGGCCCATGCCCGGGTTGTGGGCTCGATCCCAGGTACGGGACATGCAGGAGGCAGCCGTTTAATGATTCTCTCTCATCATTGATGTTTCTCTCTCTCTCTCTCCCTTCCTCTCTGAAATTATATATATATAAAAAAAAATTTTTTAAGAGAGCTCTACCAAACTATTCCGGAGCCTCTCACCATAATACATAAACATTCAGAATCTGGAACGAACAATTAGGAAACTGTGGTCCCTTTGAACTCAACACCTATCTTCGGGAGGAGGACTGCACCACAGGGTCCTGGTGAAAGCCCTCAAATAAGAGGGTAAAAAGAAAACTGCTTGAGACCTACTGCGAAAATAAAAGGCTCTAACAGGCAAAGCCAGGCCCTAAATGTCACCGGGCAAGCAGCAACTCACAAGGACGTCATCTACGCTCTCACCCACGGGTGCCTGACCCAAGGCTATTCCTTTAACCATTTCCAGAAAAAGCAAGAGAGTAGCCAGGCCCAATACCTGATATGAAACCCCAAGGTATGAGGTGGGTCTCACACACCCCCTTTCCCCGCCCCCCGCCTTTCCTTTCAAAGAAGCATCAACCCTGCATTTGAAATAAAACCTCCCCTTCCTCCCTCTCTGCTCATTCCTGAGGCCGCTCAGAAGTGAGCTGTGATTTCCCAATAGTGTCCTGAGCCAAAACACACGAGGACACACAGCAGCAGATCCAGACTTGCCGGCCCCATGGAGATTACACAAAACTTGGCCCCAAACGTGGAATAATGTGAGCATGTACGAGGTGCTGAACATTCCACCGATGGCCTGCCTGTCAGCTGCATGCCTGCTTTCCCACAGGTCTGGCGCAAGGCCCTTGGTTAAACGCAGGTTTGGTTAAACGCAGGTTCTCTGCTACTAAGGAGACACACCAACAGCCTAATTTTGGCTCTTGAACCTTTTGAGAACAAGACTTGTCTCCTGCATCCTGCCTTCCTCTCCTGCCAGGATTTCTCTCTCACACATACACACATACACCACACACACACACACACACACACACACACACACACACACCAAGGAAAGAACACAATCCCATAAACAGGAACTTTATTTAACTACGTGTTACGTAAAAGAACATATAAATGGACCTTTAAATACATCTTAATTGTTCATCTTAAACAATTTCATATAGAAACTTATTTACACTTCTCCATTATATACTTAAATTATTTTGTCCAAGCTTACTACCGATAAAAGGTAATAGAATGATCACCTGCTCGTACAGATGCAAACACAGAAGTTGTCCACAGGGCTAAGTAAAATAAAACACCACTTCTCAGGAAAGTGGCTGAGTGGGTTTCAAAGCGACGACTCATTCTGGAGGTGTTTTGAGCAGGCCTTTGCGGGAGGCCTCTGCTGAAGAGATGCGGGGGGTTGGTTCTGAGAAGCTGATCCCAGGGCAGAGCTGGGTCCCTGGGTGTTATGACTCCGACTGCTGGAGCGAGAAGGACCCCTGGACACCATCATGGAGGCCATGCCCCCACTGCTGCAGACTGGGAAGCAGAGGCTTAGGGACAGGGAGTGGCTTGCCCAAGGTACTAGTATCAGCGGTGGAACAGGGAGGGACTCAATCCCCGGTCCCTAGAGTCTCACCAGGAGTCCTGACCCCCTCTCTATCCACAAATCCACAAACTTTTGACCTCTTTCATCCATTTCCCATCTACCCATGGGCCCTATGTTTTGACCGCTGTGGTCTGCATGGTTAAATATATGATTTCTCAGGCTTTTTGAGATGGTGAGAAACAGCTCAGGATTCCCATTAACCATCTCTGCGGAGCCCCGGAAATACCTACTCGGGGCTATTTTTGTAAGAGGTTTTGTGGTCAGGTGCCTAACTTCTTCTACCATAAAGTTTACCCTTTCAATTTAGCGGACTCATCGAAGTCGAGTTTCCAATTAATTTGGTTGGGAGGCAAAATTGTACGGGAGACTGTAACACATCTTATTTGCCTAAATCCGTCTACCACTGTTGGATCTGAAATGAGGTTTCACTAATAAGTGACCAAAAATGGGGGGGGGGCGCACAATTTTTAAAAAACAAAAAAGTTTCAAGAATTCCCCCATTTCCCAAGTAGTCTCAGAGGGAAATAGTGAAGTGGGAACCGGGTAGAAAAAAGTGTCCCCCACCCACCTTTCTTCTGAATGAAGGCCTTTAATCCAAAGTGTCCCTGATGATACAAATTCTTCTAACAGTTACTTTCTTTTTAGTCTGATTTCAAAAACTTGATTTGGTTTTTCCTCGGGATTTCAAAACCACTGTACCAAAGAATAGACGTCAACATTTATAAGTATTACTGTTGAGGGGGGGAGAGAGAGAGAGAGAGAGAGACTGACTGACTCCAGGTCACATGAGCAGAGAAGGGCTGGGAGCAAAGGAAGACGGAGAAGAAAGACTGGGAGACAGAAAGCTTTTTCCTCTCCTGTAACCAGAGCGAACACAAGTCATAGCAGCCGTCACTCAGTTGTACAGCAGAAACACAAATGTGAACACATGGGATGGGAGAGGTGTGATCTGCTGAACAGCCCCATGGCGTTCCATGAAAATATGGCACTTCTACACCCTGAAAGATCCAGCGTCCTCCCAGGGGCTGCCTGCCACCCGTCCGCAGGGAGGCTCTCCCGGCGGCCACAGGCCCCCAAAACGCACGTCCCGCTGCCCACGGTGCCCACACGGAGCCACAGGAGCACCGGTCTCCACCCACCAGTCTCACTTTCCCTCCTGCTCACACGCAAACCCTCATCCCACGTCAGGCAGGGAGAGGTGAGCCAGGAAGAGTCTCAAGGACTCGGTGCAACCACAGGACGCCCAGGGCTCATGGTGAAGCCGAGTTGCCAGCAATGGTCGGCGTGCAGGCAGGTGGAACCCCGAGGCCAAGGACACATGAAGATGAAAACATCTTCGTACAAAGCAGTTTTTCTTCTGTCTTTTTTTTCCCATTCACTCTGCAAAAGGAACCAACTAAAACACTGAATTTTTATACTGAAAAATAAGCCTCTGATTTCTAAAAACTGGCCAAAATTCCTTGTTTACTTGTTGCGTAAGAATGCCATCTCACACGCCCGAGTCTCTGTTTTGGCGTAGAGGGTTTGCCTGTGCACACTTTGGGGTGTGTGCGGGAGGCGCCGGTCCAGAACAGGGGTGCATGGGGACTCGACGGCAGGAGTCGGCACTGCAGGTGGCAGCCCACAGGCCTCCCAGAGTGTACCTTCAGCGACAGGAGCACTAGCAGGTGGCACCGGTGATTCCCTTGATGTAGAAGAGTCACTCGGTGTTGGCCTTTCACAGCAGTCAGTCCGCATGATGTGCCAGGAGGTGAGGGGGGACAGGCACCCATCACTTCCATAAGGGGTGGAGGATTTTCCCCAGTGTGGTCCGGCCGGAGTCTTTCTGCCTGAAGGAGGTCCTTTCCCCCGTCCCTCTGCCCTTCAGAGAGGCCTCCATATTTGCACCGGGACCCTCTGCTGACTCAGGACACTTTTTGGGGGCCCGGGAGCTGTAGGCCCGCCGCAGGGTGCCGCTGTCCTTGGGGACCGCATCCTCAGAGCCACCCTTCATCCTCAGCTGCCGGTGGGAGACTGTCCGCGTGAGGCCGGGGGCTTTGGTCACCGGGAGAGAATCTGTTTTCATGAACCGAGATGAGGAGGCTACTGTGTTTCGGGCAAAGCCTGGTACCTGGGACGGGACACGGGGGACGCTGGGGGTTGGTGGAGGGGGTTTGGGCTCTTCTCCCGGGCTCTGGGGGTCCTGGGAATTGGAGCGGCAGATCTTATTTTCCTCGGGTTTCTGTCTGGGGACGTTCCGGAGGGGCTTGGCGCTGGGCTTCTTGAGGGAGCCCCTGGGCTGCAGGGCGGGCTCCTTGCCCGGCCGGGTGCCGCAGGAGCCGACCCTCCCTCGCGGCGGCTTCTGCTCCTGCTCCTCGGTCACCTCGGCGACCACCCCGGGCCCCTTCGAGGACCTCTTGGGTGACGTGTCCGAGGTGCCCTTCACAGAGTTCCGGCGTGACCACGACTCCTGGGTGCCGCTGGGGGGCTCCCGAGGGGGCTGCTTCCAGCCGGAGGAGCCCCTGCTGGCCCTAGAGATGGGCACGACCTTGCGCATGCTCTCGCTCTCCGAGGAGGTCAAGGTCCGCACGGGCTTGGGCGCCGTCCCCTGGCCTCGCGGGACAGCCCCAGGCTTGGGGGCTCCCTGGGACGCCTCCTTGAGGGAGTTTCTCTTTGGTGTGGTCGCTTCCTTCCCTTTGGAGGACCTTTCTCTGGAAAGGCCACCCCTGCAGCTGGGCCCGGTCTTTGCAGAAGCAGGAGCAGGGGCCTCCCCAGGGGGGCTGGAGAGAGGGTTGGAGGACACTTGGCTGCCACCCGCCTCCCCTGCCCCAGAGGACACAGAGCCATCCCCTTGGCCGGCCTCCCCCGGCTCCCCACCGCCAGGCCTGGTGTCGGTTTCCTCTGAGCAGTCCAAGGTCAGCGAGCAGTCGGTGGTATCCGAGAAGTAGAACAGAGGCCCAGGGTCTTTGTTCTCAGGGTTGATGCTGGGCTCATCAGGAGCTGCCCCGTCACCCTGCAGGCCTGCGCTGAGACTCTCCTGGGCGTGGAGACGCGTCAGGCTACCGTTGCCAGCATCAATGCCAGCACCAATGCCAGCACCAATGCCAGCACCAGTGCCAGCACCAGTGCCGGCTCCGAGGGGTTGCAGGCTCCCATCCCCCGGAGACGCCAGCTCCACTGGACTGAAGTTGGTCGGGCTCCGCTGGGGCGTCTCCTCTGGGTCCTTGGGACCCTGGACGTCGAACTGGGCCAGCCCGGTCACCAGCTCGTGCTCCTTAATTCCCAGAGCCAGTGGCGAGAGTGGAGGGGACCAGGGAGACGCCAGGCCCACAGGCTCACTGTTCCTCTTTTGGAGCATGCTGAGCCCGCTACGCCGAGTTCGGAGCAAAACTGGAGCAGAGTCTTCCATCTGGGGGGTGAGGAGCTGGCCACAGGAAGCCGAGGGTGGGTCGGGGGCTCCCTCCTGGCCTGCGGAGGCCTGAGGTCTGTGTGTGCGGCCAGAGCCCTGGTCCCTCGGCTCCCCAGACTCCCTCCAGGCCGACGCGGACCGGGCCTGCCGAGGGCTGCTCCGGGGCAAGCTGTTGAATTTGTTGGCCTCCTCGGGGCTGCCCACAGAGTTCTCCAGGAAGGTCAGCAGCTCCCGGTCAGCGGAGGCGCCCAGGGAGAGGCGGGAGCGGCGGGTGTTGGGGCGTCGGCAGGAGGGGCTGATGGGCCTGCGGTGCAGGAAGGGGGGCAGGTCCTCCGCACTCTTCTTGCCCAACTGCTCCACGTCATTCTCACTGCTGCTCCGGCCGAATCCCACCAGCTCCCCAGTCGCCCAGGAATGCCGCTTCTGCTCCAGCTCCTGCAGCCGCCGCAGCTGCCTCAGCTCCTGTACCTCCCGGTTGTGGTTGTCCTGAATGAGGGGTGGAGAGAAGCCCAAAGATGCATCAGACACGTGGGACCCCTGTGCCATTCCAGAGCCACCTACCCTGAGACCCCAGTGAGACACACATGGTGGAGGAGAGACTGGGCCATGGGCATCAGGGGGAGACTGTGCGTTTGCCCTTGTGTGTGGGGGCTAGGTTCTTCCAGAGCTACGTGGGGGTGACAGAGGAGACACTACTTCTGGCCCCAAAAGTCCATCTAAGGTTGTCATCAGATCCCTGGGCCCAACTTCCAGCTTTCAGGTCAAGGCACTGGCCCTGCAGTGTGGGCTATGACTCCATTTGTATCTGTGACCTCAACTCCCAGAAAACCCCATGTGGTCCTTGCATGGGTACACACACACACACACACACACACACACACACACTCACTCCTGTGCAGCACATTCTACCTAGTGGGGGTATGGATGCATAAATGACGTACACCCAAGATATTACGAGAGGCTTTTCAAATCTCTGTTCTCTGGCTGCTCCCTGGTAGAAAAAAAACCACACACACAAAAACAAACACCAGAAATGCCAGGGTGGCTCAGTCCCTTGTGCCCCATGCCCTTCCCACAACCAGAGAGAAGGATTTGCCTTACAAATCCTCCACCTTCCACCCTGCTCCGAGTGGCCAGTCCTCTGGAGCGGAACAAATGCGCACAACCAAGCACACTTTACTGCCTGGCTGTGCACTTTGAATGTACTCCTGTCATGGAAATATGTGGAAATCACCACCCGAATCTGTTATCGGTAGCACATTTTACTTGAAGGTCCATTTCTGCAAACGGACGTTCCTGTCCAAGTGTCTGTGAGGCTCTGGCTCCGGCTGGCTGCCAGTGCGGGGGGAGGGCCAGCTCTTGGCTCTCGGGGCGGCTGGGCTGAGAGCATCACACAGGTGGCCCCGAGAGCCTATAGGATTCCGACTGGGAGTGAGGCCCTCAGCAAGAGCCAATCTGGCACCTACCACCCACCACCGCTTCCCCTGCTGAGCTCACTGCTGGGACAAGGGAGCGTAAACGTGGCCAGAGGCTGAGCCTCCTTCGTTTAGCTGGACAGAGGAAGGAGGGACCGAGAAACCAAGGAACTCCGGCCTATTCACTTCTGGCTGGAGAGAAATTGGACCAGTCCCTCAAAGAAACTCAGCTATGGGCAAATCTGCTTTTGAAATATAGAGGAAGAGATGGTGTACACGTATTAGGTTTCTCATCACCACCAGAAAGGAAGGGAGGTGAGGTGCTTTGTTTTTCATTGAAATGAGTTTTATTTACAAAGACAAGCAACCCGGAGAGTTTTCTGGCTTCTGCAATGAGCTCAGAGATGACTGGAATTGATGGCTGAAGGGCAAGGTGGACTCAGACAGCAGAGCACCCTCCCTAGATATCTGAGCGTTTCCAAGTCGGCTCTGGCCAAGGACAGCCTGGTTCCCATGGCACCAACCCCTGGCGATGGCCATTGGGCTGGAAACAGTGACAGAGGGCTCTATGGTCATCCCACTGCGACCAAGGTCTCCTGGCAAAGGATATGTTCTCCTGGGGAGGGGCTGAGAAAGACCTTCGGGATCTTCGAAGATACTTTTCAATATGGTGATGCCATCATAAATAAACCTTACTAACAAAATGCTTTTAGGGCATTAAAGTGGGTAATGTTCTGAGCCTCAGAGTTGCAGATGTTGGTACCTACCACCCACCACCGCTGTCCCCACATGCTGGACACCTGATGATACGGAAGCGTTCGGGCCTGGGGTGGCAGAACCACTTCCTCCTCATTCTGACTGAGAGCCTGGCGATGGTGCCTGGGCCCAACCTTCCTGAACCCCCATAAATGCTCAACTGTCTCCCAGCCATGGGCAGAGGGCTGGCTGGGTCTGGAAGAAGAAAAATAAAAATCTGAACCACTCAGAAAATACAGAGATGCCATCTGCCGTACCTTAACCGCTTTGCTGAATTTGGTGCAAAAGTCTCGAAATATCTGAAGGCACTCGTCCAGTTTCATGGTTTCTTTGTCTTCGCAGAAAAAATCTATAAGGGTGTGGGCCTCGTCCTGGAGCTCCCGTTTCCAGTGTTCTAGTTCGGTCAGCTTCTCTACAGCAAACTGCGGGCAGACAGACAAGCACACGCTGAGGCAAGCAGTCGGCGGGCAGGCTGGTGCCCAGGGGAGGGGTGCTCCCGGGTTCAGGTTCAGGTCTCGGAGAAGGGAAGGCTTATTGCGAGTCCAATGTGCTCAGAGCCAAAAGGACAATAATTCAACCCAAACAAAACCTTCGGGGAAGCAAGGTGAGCTCCTGAGTGAGGCCTGGGAGCAACAGAAGAGATGGAAGGGCCTTCACCAGTAGAATGCCACCAACGAAACGTTCACCTTTAATGTCACTGGAAAAGTGACATAGGTGTGCACTTGATTTTATTATTTATATAACCATTAATATTCATATCCTGTATGTTCTTCCTTCTCTTAAAACTGGGTGTTATAGTGGCCAGGTTTACTTTAGGGTCCTAGAAGTTACTGTTCTATTGATGAGTTGTCCTGTTGGCAGGGAGTTTAAACTTAATTCCAAATGAGCCATGTCAGGGTCAGGGTCACCCCTCAGGACTGAAGCCCTCGTGCCTGGACCAAGGTCCCAGCAGGGCTTCCTAGCCAGGGGTGCTCATCTACATCAGCTGGGGTGCTGGGTCTACAGTCCATGCACTGAGTAGTTGTGGGGTGGACCCAGCCTGCATATCTTATGAAAACTTCCCCAGGAAATTGTGATAGGTAGCCACGGTTAGGAATTTCTGCCTGTACAAATCCATCCTCTTTACTTCTCCACGGTCTCCGAATTCTTCTAGGACAAAGTCTCCAGGGCCCCTACAGGTTCAGGCTACTGCCTCAACCAAGAAGTGGGAGGGAAAGAAGCTTGCTTTCCTCCAATGAACTCCAACCCTTTCAGGAAGGGATCTGCTGGGGCCAAGGGGCTCAGGGACAACAAAGTTGTGGTACGGGGACCACAGGAAGCCTCGTGCGGCTTTCTTTTCCACTGGGTTACAAGGCTTATATGAAGAAGGGACGTACGGAGTTATTACTTTATGAAATCACGTGTATCATGTTTTCATAAAGACGTATTTGGAGACTTCTTCGCGTGGGGGACAGGCCTGGGAAATGGTGAAGATACAGGCTGCCCTCCCTTGAGGAGTGGAAGCCCTGCTTGGACCTGCTTGGAGCTACAGAACCTAGAGACAAGTTCTGAGAAGACATGTCCCCTCTCACTCACTCCAACATACTCTCCCCCTGAAAAGCCCTCTTCCTACACCAAACACACTCAAGAGGATGCAGGAAACCAAAACTATTTAGGAGACCAAATACCAGAGAAAGTAACCATCTGAGCCAGTAGCCCAAGGCAGTGTGTGCACTCATGGTGTATTTTTCTCTATGGAGAGAAGGGTATTAACGAAAGGATATACCCCTGCCTGTCGTTCTTCCACAGAAGGGAAGATGGATTCCAGCCAAGAACAGCTCAACTGCAGCTGAACAGGACTCTTGACAAGAATCTACACAGGCGTTTACTCCACCTCGTAGGCCTCATCCTTGGAGTGTGAGGGGACTGAGAGGACACGGGGAAGGAACGACGTCCGTGCACTGCAGTCACCCTCAGGACTTGGGAAAGTGAAATAGTCCGAATATGGGTCTGACAAGTCACCATGCTCAGAGTCATTATTTCCTGAACCCTGCCCACACGATCAGGGCCGGGAACAAAAGAGTCCAAAGCCACACTGGCAAAACGTGAATGACAACAGGTTAGCAGTGTAGCGAATTCAACTTTCCATCTCTCACTTGTCTGCTCTGGATCCAAGTTCCAAACCAGTTTACTTGGTGTTCCACACCCAAAAGGTCAAAAGTCCCAAAGAGATCTGCAAAACAGTGGTCCTGTCATTTTTTTTCTGCTCCAAAATCTCCAGCGACTCCTCACGGCTTAGAGCACAAAAGGCCGAAGTTTTCAGACTGGCATTCCAAGCCCTTGCTGGCCTGACCCTAAGCTACCCTCAAAAATTGTACCCCCACCCCCCATTTAAAAAAATTGAATTAAAAAATAAATAAATAGCTGGGTGGAACATTTTTATTTACAGAGCTAAAAATGACTGCCAGGAAGAAGCGTTTAGAGTTAAAACAACTTTGCCTTAAGACAGAGGTGCAGTTAAGAAAGAGCTGCTTTTCATGGAAGACCTTTCTGTCCAGCTATTTGGCATACGACACTAATGTTTAATATAAGAACTGAGGAACGAGGCAACCGGAATTCTCATGTCCTGCACGTGGGCCTTCTCCTTGACCTTCGGGATTGGCTTCAGTTGTCTGAATGTGCTCACTGCTGAGCGTTTGCCTACCCACTGGCAGGTGTCTCTGTGCTGCTGTTTGCTTTGTTCTTACACTTTGAGAAAAATCTGTGTACTTGTAAGGGGGAAATCAGAGCCTGCTTATATTTCAAAGAAAGCATAGAACCCGTGTTTAATAATAAAAAATAAAATCCCAACCGAGCCGAACAAAATCAAATGTTTGCAGATGGAAGCTGAGGCGCATCATATTTGCAGCTTCATCACGCGCACACGGGTAAAGGCTTCGCTTGGAACACGCCTCCGGAGCACAGTGTTCCTTCCCGGTGCCAAGGGCAGCCCTGGCACCTGGATTCCACCTCGAGAATCTAAGGCACTGACATTTAAGGCAGCACACCACTTCCCTGAAGATTGGGAGCATGAAAAGGTGCCACTCTTTCCTTTTAATGAGGACGATAAACGAAGTATGTCAGACTGTGTGATGAGTGAGTCACAGTGAGCTGTCACAAACAGGTCCACTCTGCTGTTTTCTGTTGTTATTCCGAGCCGCTCCTGACACACCCTGTTTGGGCTGATGGATTTCGGGTGGTGATAGGCACAGCGACCGTGTTCTCCTGCTCTTAACATAAAACATGCCAAAACGCAGCCTGTGCCTTTAGTAAACACAAGCGAAGGGACAACAGTCCAGGTTTTCAGGTTATCTTTACGATTTCTGTGGAACTTTGCGGTTCTGTTACTCACCAGTTTGACTGGGAGTCGGGAACCCCAAAACCACGATTTACAACCGAAACTTGAGTTGCCAGGGTAAGTGAGCACCCTCACCTGATACCATTTCACATCGAGCAGTGATACACAGAGGGCCGCTCTCTAACAATTACCTGAGGCAGTTTAGGCCACATTCAGTATCTTCTGCTCAAAAACAATCCAGTCAAGAACGGGCACTGAACTAAGACGCTCCCTTTACTGACTGGGAGGAAATATGAATGGGAACCTGTTGCTTCCCTGAACACGCCCATGCACACGCACCCCGCCCCGGGGAGCTGCTGGACGACGAAATGAGAGGCACTGACTTGCTTCACCCACAGACCTGAAGGAACTCTTCCATCTGCTGACGGAGCTCATCGTCCCGCCGGATGTTTTCCTTCAGCGACCGCGTCCTGACAGACAGCGAGTGCAGCTCTGCCTCCGTGTTATCCAGAGACAACCTGGGAGAAGAAAGGGGACAGCGGGCAGTTGGCAACGGGGAAGCCATGTGTCATGTGGGTACATCAAACCAGTCTAACTGCTGGTCAATCTTAGAAACAGAAGGGCAGACACACCTGAAGCTAATACAGAACACTGAATGTAAAGGAAAAAAGCAACACAAATTGACTATCACGTATCAGTTCGAATGCAGAAGCAGTTATAAGGGTCCAACTATGTGCTGTTAAGCGAAGACATTAAAGAAATTTGTAGAAACAAATCAAATAGAAGGGGAGGGAACCATTGCGAATA